CTCAAACAGTGTGTCTACACTGAGGGGTTGTTACGGTAGGTGTGAAGGCCGGGGTTAGATCAGGGTACGCTCTTTGGCCTCGAGCATTTTTCCTGTAAATTTCCATATCAAAGTGTCCTCCTGAGATGTCCATGTGCATTTCGATTGCGCAGGCTCCCACAAGTCTGCGTCCTGCCTTGCTCGTTTCCAAAGGTCTTGTTTTACTAGCGCGCTGTGCTCGTTTTTTGAACTATGACCATTTCGTGTGGCAGCCTGGGACATCCGGGGCTTTTTGAAATCTAGCACGTGACAGGTGCAGGACATGGGTCAGTTTTTCACCCGTGTGGCAGGCATGGCTTTTTTTTTTCGCACGTTGCTAAGCCATTGGCAGTTAATGGGTCAAAGTGAGAGGTGCTTCTGGAGGTCATTTTTCGTGGCAGGCACAATATTTGGTGAACTTGGACGACGTTTTGAAAGGGTCGAGTCGAAAGTCTCGTTTTGTGAAACCGTCGCCGAGTTTGATATTGGACATGATGATGACTTCAGCTGCCTCGGGCTCATTTTTTGTGGCGGGCGCAGTACTTTGTAGACCTTGACAAAAAAGTGGCTGAGACCTAGGTGAAACGTAACATTGATTTTCGTGGTGCGCGCAATGTCTTGTGAACATCTAACGTGTCCTCCCGCAACCCTCTCGTGACTTTGGGCGTGTTGGATCACTCTCGTTGTGGCGCGGTGCAAATTTTGCTATCGCTCGCGCAACCCTCTCCGCACTTTGTGCGTGTCGCTCTCGTTGTGGCGCGGTGCGAATTTGCGCTACCCTGATAGACCAATAGACCCTTAAAAATTAGACCCTTTTATTAAGAAAAATTAGACCCTTTCTTTGTTTTTGGAGTATGGGTCTATTTTTTTTTAAAGGTGGCTAGGGGAGGATGGTGAGGAAGCCACCCTGTGCTTTGATTCTTTTTTAAAATCAATATATATTTTTTTGAAAGTATTTTTTGTTCAGTTTGTTTTTCTAAAATTGGAAAGAGGTGCACTTGGTTGGTTGGAGCTGGCAGTTGGGCTGTGTCTATTTGACCTTTGCACTCACTCAGAAAACCAGCATGTGTATGTCCATGATTTTTTCAGCATCAAGGTAAATGTGTTAGCCATGGCAGAACAGCATCTGGTGGCAGCTGTGAAAGCCTTCAGGAATTGCTCTCCTGGTGGCCCTGAATCCCACAAGTTTTTGGTAGCAGATCCTGATGTCCTAGTAGAAAACCACGAGGAACTGTGCTTGGAGCTGCTGCAGCTGGAGAGAAGAATGACAATTTCTTTTCTACAAAGTGCAAGAGGCAAAGCCTTCCCTAGGCTTACTGCTGGTGAATGCACAGCATGGGCTCAAAGGCTTGATGCAGGCCTCAAGCACATACTTTTGAAAAAGAAGCAGAGTACAAGTGGAAAGAAACTGAATTCTTCTGTCTGGAGAATAATTCAGCAGCTAGGACCAGAATCTCCTCAAGCAGGGGTTTCTTCGCTTTCTTCTTCCAGCAGACCTTCCCTCGCTTCTACTTCCAAGAAGCTTTCCCCTCCAGGCATTGACCCAGTGCTGAATGCCAAAACTGTGCTGCAGAAGGCGAAAGCAGCATTGGGAGATGATTCTTTTGAAGATGAGGAAATGCCAGACAAATCCAGTGCTTCAGTGGTTTCTGTGGCCAGCTCAGAGCAAGAGTATCAGCAATACTTTGACAATGCTAGTATGTGCATGGTCAGGCTGCTTCCTTCAGGGCAATTGGTGCAAAGCATCATGAAGCCTGGAGAAAACGGTTTTGCTGTGGCCACATTTCCTCCAGAAAGCGTAGACATTGCAACCGAGCTTCCCAACTCTTTGCTTCTAAGCTTCTAAGAGAGCACTGGTGCCAAGAAGAAACCTTCAGCCAAGATCCCTGTCAAGAAGAGGCCAGCTGCAGCTCTGAATGCCCTCCCTGTCTCCAAGGCTCGACATGCTGCTGCACCTGTGGAAGGGGACCCTTTCAAGTCCCCATTTGTTCTCATGTACTACAAAGAGCCCAAGCATTCTTGGGCCATTCGGCAAAGAGGTGGCAACCAGCTTTTCCAGATCACTTGCCAGCACCGACCCAAAGAGAACTTGAAAGATATCATGCTGCAGGCTGTCAAGAAGCTAGAAGCAGGTGAGCCTGCTGAGCGAGTGAAAGAGTGGTGCAAATCCCAAAGGGAATCCATTTAAGTTTTTCCATTTCCAGACTTTGTTTCACTATTTCTCAAGATCTTGGGCTTCTGAACCTCTTGCCAAAATGTGTGGAACTTTGCAATGCAGATGTGTTGGCCTTTGGTGCTGTCATGCTGCCTTGAGTGATGTGAATGGTTCCGGCAAGGTTCCTTTTGAATTTGGGAGGTCTGGGGAGGATTGGAGGCTTTAAGAGTGAGAGGGAGAAAGAATAAATATATTCAAACTCAAATATATATCTATATATATATATATAAAGGAATTGTATATTTAAAAGTATTGCATTTAATCTAATATGTTTGTGTATGCATATATTAGATAGATATATAATTTGAATACATGGAATGTTTCATAGTTATATATATATATGGGAAATAGATTGCATTTATATGCACACATCATATTGCACATGGAATGGCATAGAGAAAACATTTGACAGAGACGCGCACACACACACTGCTGACTGAATTTTGCGGCATCACCCCAAGGGGGGGATAATTTGGGGAGGACAGGGTAACCCAAAAATATAGAGGGATATGATAGTGAAAGGAGATTTCTGAGCAGTCAAACCAGTGGACACTGCTGAAGCTGTCACATGAACAGTGCTTGCAGTGACAGAACTATGCAGCTGTGTGTGCTCAAAAAAGTTTGCCCACCATGCCTGGAAAGAGGCCCTGGTGGAGTAAGGCCTGGACAAAGGTCTGGAACGCGGACCACTCTGTGGAGTATTTTGTTTGCCCATGTCAAAAGTGCGAATCTGACTATGTGTGGAGGTTTGGATGCATTCACCCTTCATGTGTTTCTTGGATTTGTTATAAACTGATTTTTTGGTTTGGACCATGATAATCAAGAGGGGTAGCAGGGATACTAGGGGCTGTCTACCTGTTAATGAATCTATAAAAAAACCTGTCACCTGTCAGGAAGATTATGCCAAAGTGAAGAAAGGCAAGACGCAGGAGGTGCACAAGGACGAGACCAGCTGGGATGCTTTTGTGAAAAGCTTCAAGGACTGAATGACAAATATCTGAACTGACAGTTTTGCATCGATTAAGTTTTTACTTTCCCACCCCCAATGTTTCCACCAAAAGGTGCATAAAAGACTGGTATAACTACTATATTACACCCCCTGGTGGTGAGGAAGGGGAGGCAGGGGGTATAATATAGTAGTAGTAAAAAAAAAATATATATCTTTCAATATTTGCATAGAAGTTAATATATCTAATGGACACTTTGGCAATAAACAAGTATAGATACATAAGAAATAAATGAATATCTATACCTATACCTATAAATGTATATATATATATCTATCTATCTATCTATCTATCTATCTATCTATCTATCTATCTATCTATCTATCTATCTATCTATCTATCTATCTATCTATATATATGTATATCTAGTAGCTGGACGATAAATACATTTGCAGTGGGATCCCACCTGGCCCAGGCAGGCAATGCAGATGTGGATTCTGCCAGCCAACAACCTGATGCTGGTGCTGCTGAGCGGCCTGCTTCCAGTGGCATTTCAGCAGAGGCAAAGGCAGCTGCAGAGGAAGAATCCAGGAAGAGAGCTGAGAATTATGAGAAAGCACAACAAGCTCAGAAGCGCAGAATGGCTGAGCAGGCTGAGGCAAAAGCTAGGTCTGAAGCCAAAGCTAGGACAAGCACACCTCCAAAGTATGTGCAGCCTGAGCCGATGCCAGCAAAGTCTGGGCCTGTTCCAAGTAAGGCTAAGCCTGTGCCAGCGAAACTGATGCCAGCACCACCACCTATGCCTAAGCATGTGGCTTGGTTCCTAGCAAATTCGACTGTTTCTGTGGAGGAGCTGCCTCCAGAATTGGAAAGCCTGCCACCAAAGGCAAAAGCTTTGCCACCCCCAGCTACCAGGGAGGCAGCTGAAGCGAAAGCATATGCAGCTGCTGTAAGTAGACAGGTGATAGGATGGCACTTGCAGCCCAAGACGGGTTAGACAAATCCACAGAGATGAAATCTTCCAGAAAAAACTGGCTCCAGCATTGACAGCTAAAAATCAACATGCCTGATTGCACATATTTAATTGATTATTTCTAGGGGTCTACCTAGGGATGACTATCCACGTGCAATCAGGGATGTTGGTCACAGACTGCATTTGCACACATAGATAAAACATGATATGTATTTTATGCATGCCGTGTATATGCATTCAGTTATTTTTATCTACAGCCACATATATATATATATATATTTCAATACATCATAGCATAGAAAGTCCTGGGGAGGAAAGGGGAGGTTCAGGACTCTCAAAATTTCATATTCTGACATTTGTCTGACCAGTTTTTCCTTTCACAGTTTTTTTTAATTGTGAAAATCCAGCCAGTCAAAGTTAACTCAAGTTAACTCAAGTTAACTCTAAGTTAACTCAAAGTTAACTAAGTTAACTTAAGTTAACTCCCTTTAAATCTAATTTAAAATTAACAAAGTTAACTTAAGTAAACTCAAGTTAACTTAAGTTAACTCAAGTTAATTCTGCTAAGTTAACTCTAGTTAATCCCAGAAAATTCTGCAAAGTATTTTTTTAATGTTTTGCCTTTGACTTTCCAGATTGACATGTTTTGCTGATTCAGTGAGTTGCACCTGAAGATGCTCACAGCTCTGCATTGCAATCAGTCATGAGCAGCCAAACTCAGAGATGTTCAGCTTTGAAAAAATCCTGGAGTTGCCTTGAGTTTTTTTGGTTGGCAATCGTTCTTTGCCAGCTGTTTTTCTCAAGTGCCTTTGTAAGCAGGCAACTAAATTTAGTTCTTGTGAGAACAATGGGCAAAGCTGCTGCCAAGCCTAAGACTGCTCCTGGCAAGGATGTGGTGAAAAAATCTGCCAAGAGAGTTAACAAGGCAGCAGCTGCTAAGTCATCTGCGAAGGCAACAGCCAAGGCAGCTGCCAAGGTGAAAGTTGAACCACCTTCTCCCCAGAGGTCTCCTCGCGTTGAGGAGATTGTTCCTGTGTCCCAAGCTGCTACTGTCGACAAGAAGGACATCAGCAACTTCTTGGGCCAAATGAAGAGGGCAAATTCAGACGATGCTGTGGCCTTGTACAACCACTACAAGACCCTGGGAAAGTTCGATGCACAAAAGCAGGCTTTGGTTGCCAAGTGGAAGGCTGACAAGAGTTGCAAGTGGTACAGCAGCTACTCTGAGTCCTTTGAGAAGACCAGTGCCTCCAAGAAGCAGGGTGCTGTTGGCTGGTCGACAAGGCCAGCTGGGGACCAAAGTTTGTTTTTTCCACTTTTATTGCTAATCCCTCTTCCCTCCTCAGGTGGGAAATTGCCAATGAGATGCATCGAAATCCAGGCTCACCATCTTTCAAGGAACTTTTGGACACTTTGGAAAGCAGCTCTGAGAAGTGGGATGAGTCTTTGCCGCAAGAAAAGTTCCTCAAGGACAAAGGTGAGAAGAAGTACTTCTGGTCTAGTGCCAGTGGTTTGGCCAAGTTTGAAGAAGTTGAGAAGCACAGCGAAGAGTTCTCTTCCAGCGTGGGTGGCTACGACTCCAAAGGTGGCAAGCCCAAGGGTGGAGCCACAGGGGACTCTTCTGAGGAGCAAGCCAAGTACCCTGTTTACACCGAGCTCAAGGAGAAAGTGGGAGAAGCTGCCACTGTGAGTCGCTGCTTGTCAGATTCAGATTTGCTAGTTGTATATTATTTGAACTGTTGATACTGATCCTTCTTTAGCATTTTCTTCACTCAGGCTCTTTGGCTTCCTCCTGCGACAAGTTGCAAGACAACCTTGCTTTGGCTGTGGCCAAGTTTGGAGTAGCGCAAGATTCTTTGAGGAAGATTGTAGATGATGCTGTGGATGGCAATCAAAAAGCCAAGCAGAGATTTGCTGAGTTGGTCTGCTTGAAGCCTGAAGAGGCTCAAGAGATTCATCAGAAGGAAGCGATTGATTTGGTGGAAGCCTTGCAAGCCCACAAGCAGGCTGTGGCTCAGGCACAGAAGAAGTGTACAGCTTTGTTGAACTAAGTAAGTTTTGGCTGCGGTTGGGCGTCTCAGAGAGCTGTGTTAGCTTTAGCTTTTCTCTGTGGTCAAAAAAACCCAACTGCGCAGTGCATTTCACATTCTGAGTTGGCGAGGGTCACTAGTAGCATTGTCTTTTCAGGCACTCTTCTTTGCAGTCCTGTGTCAACCACCTCTGCCACCCAGCGCTTAAGGCTCTCAATTGTTCACCAACTGTTTTTTCTTGCAGCTATGGCAGCTGCATTCAAGCAATTACTTTTGTGGCTGCTCTAGCTGGATGTGCTCCCTTGTTCAGCCATGTTTCACAACAAGAAGACAGGCGATATAGAATCCCTTTCGCCCACCAAGGTGTTGAGACAACATGTGCGCAGCCTCTATTTAAACAATAAACTTTCTGGACAAGAGACAGAAAAACTTCAAGCTGAGATTGCAGAGTGCAAAGTGCCTGGCTTCAAGGTCAGAAAAGGCTTCTTGAAAAACAGACAAGTTTCCCAACAAGCCAGCAGGAATCTTTTGAGGAGAAGCTTGAAGCACAGCCAGTGGCCTCCAATCTATGCCCATGAAATCAGAGTTTTTGACCCCAAGAAACAGATCGAATGTTTGGCCAAAGTGGCTTTCATGCTTCCACATGAAATTCTTTTCGCTTTAGGTGACTTCAACACTGCTGAAACCCTTACAGTACTATCTTCTGCCACTGAATCTGTACAGAAACATTGCTTGGAAGCTCAAAGTCAATGGGGAGTACCAGTAGCAGCCTTAGGGCTCTGGAGCGATGGTACTCCATTCAACTGGGAGAGAAGTAAATCCTTGGAATTGTTATTGATCAATTTTCCAGGCCTGGACAGGACATGGAGGTTCCCAATAGCTGCAATTCCTCATGAACATATCTCTAAGCATGCCACTTTCGAGGATATTTTTTCATTGGTGGCTTGGTCTTTCCAGCAATGTGCTGTGGGCAAAATGCCTTTCCAAAGGCATGATGGTAGTCCATGGACTTCTAACGACACCTGGAGGAAGAAGAGGGCTGGAAAGCCTTTGCCATGCAAAGCTGTTTTAGCTGAGGTGAGAGCAGATTGGAAGTGCATGAGCGAAGTTTTTCATTTGCCTCATTGGCAAAACACACTGGGAATTTGCTGTAAATGTTCTGCCACTCTTGGTAATTTCAAAGATTTTTCTTCTCTGGCTCCTTGGAGATCTGAAAGGCTGAACCATTGGCAATTTTTGGAGAGGCAATTATTGCAGGGCAAGAAAGTCAGTGCCATCTACCATTGTCCTTTGTTCTCTACTTCTTGCTTTAAGATTGATTGGCTGCACACAATGGACCTTGGAGTCTCCTGCGATACATTGGGCAACCTCTGCTGGCATTTGTTGCCTAAGTTCGTAGGTAAAAGATCTGACCAGTGGCAGCTTTGTTTTTGACCATGAAAGATTTTTACACGAGGAACAATGTGGAAACCAGATTGTTCAACCTCACTGAGAAGATGGTCAGGTCATCAGCCAAGACAAGCCCTAAGCTCAAGACCAGGGCTGGTGAGACCAGGGCATTGGTACCCTGGGCTTGGGAAATTGCGCAGACTATGCTTGATCAGCTGGATCCTTTTGAGCAGGCAATTTTTTTTGCCATCAAGTATTTGCACCAGGCCTACCAGTGCTTGAGTAAGAAGAACTTCCAGCACCAACACTTCCACGATGTTTGTTTCAATTCCTTTTACAATACCAAGCCTTGGAATTTTTGGCTCCAGAATACACTTGGTACATCAAACCCAAGTTCCATGGAATGGCTGAGCTTGCTCTAGCATTTGACAATCCAAGTATGAATTGGGTATACAGGGATGAAGAAGCAGGTGGCACACTGGCTCGGTTGGGTAGAAGCAAGGGCAACCTGCAAACCCCTTGGTCTGTGTCAATTAATGTTCTGCAAAGATTTGCTGCAGAGTTTTCTGTGCCTGCTTTTTGAAAAAAGAGCTGCTGCCATGCACCTGAAAAGCAAAAACTTAAAGTGCACCTCTTCCAATTGGAAAAACAAAAATATGTTCTTTTCTTTAAATCAGCTAGGGGGAGGAAGGGAGGATCAAAAATCAAAAAAAGTCCAAAATATATTTTTAAAACAAATATAATCTTTAAAACGTATTTTACAAAACAAAAAAAGGCCAGAGGAAGGATGGAAGGAAAAACAAGTACAGGTCTAATAAAAAAAATAGACCTGTACTCATTGAAAAAAAAGTTTAGGACTATAGTCTGAACTACAGGCTTAAAGCCCTTAATCCAGACTATTGGTCTATCAGGGTATAGCTCGTGCAACCTTCATGTGACTATCGCTCGCAGATCGCTCTCGTTGTAGCGCGGTGCAAAAATGTTCATCTGACTCGCACAACCTTCTCGGCACTTTGTCGGATCGCTCTCGTTGCGGCGCGGTGCGAATTTTGACACCGCTCGTGCAACCCTCGGCGCTTTGTGCGTGTCGGATCGCTCTGGTTGTCGCGCGGTTGTGGCGCGGTCGCGGCGCGGTGCTGATGTCAGCTGCTTCTGTTGGACGCTGGTAAAGAGATCTGCTGAGTTTTCTGGAGTGTCCTTCTATGACCCTCTTGCAAGGGTTTCATGGTGCCTTTTTAAGGGGGTGAGAATGTGCCTCCACCAGGGTTCCAAAACAGGAAGAGCACTTTTAGGTTGACGCCCTTGGCTACATGCCATCAGTAGCTAAACGCAATGAAAAAGACAAGCTATTTGGATCTATCTGGATATATTGGTTGGAAGCAACTTCTTCAAAAAAGATGTATTTAACTGTGTTGGCTGTGCGCACTCACTTAGTTTACGAACGGAAAAACCATACATAACAAATCAACAAAGTGTTTTAGCGAAGGCAAAAACAACACATTTTTCAAATCCAAAAAGGCTGCACACATGCTTAGCGTGTTATGCCCTACATGTCTTGAACCCCAGCTGTCCTATGCTGTAGTCTCAGGATGTTTTGTTTCATCCGAAAAAACAAAGAAATAATCGAAGGAAGTTTAGAAGTCAAACTTCCGACAATATGGACAGATGAAAAGCAGAGTAGGGCAGAGGCAGAGAGAAGAGAAAGATTAGAAGAGAGAAGAGTAGAAGAGAAAGAGTCAGAAGAAAGAAGGTGCAGATGGGCGAAAAGGTTGGAAAGTCGCGAAACACTCTGTTTTTCCAATGATTTGTGGCTCCGGAGGGTCGAAAAGTAGGCTCGCTAAAGCGGCGGGTGCGGAGCCAGCTGGCCAGATGAGAGATGAAAAATTGCACACCGTTGTGGCGCGAAGCACATTTCGAAGTCAAAATGTACAAAACACCTGGTGCTCGGGAGCACTTTTTGGAAGTTGAGATGTCGAAAACGTGCACGCCGTTGTGGCGCGAAGCACATTTTGAAGTCAAAATGTATAAAACACACCAGGTCCGGACCACTTTTGGCAGTTGAGATGTCGAAAACGTGCACGCCGTTGTGGCGCGAAGCACATTTCGAAGTCAAAATGCACAAAGCACCGCAGTGTCGGACCACTTTTGGAAGCTGCGATGTCGAAAAAGTGGACGCCGTTGTGGCGCGAAGCACATTTCGAAGTCAAAATGTTGAAAACACTAGGGGTTCGGACCACTTTTGGATGCTCAGATGTCGTTCCGCGTGGCAGGTGCAAGGGATTGTCGATCTTGTAGAAAGTGAGCACAATGTGAGGGTTTTGTCGCATTTTCAACTACAACCACCACTACACCACGCTACATTCCAATACCTACAACTACACCTTCACTACTCCACTACTACACTACACTACACTACACCACACCACGCTACACCACACTACACCACACCACACCACACTACACTACACTGGACTACACTAGACTACACTAGACGACACTAGACGACACTAGACGACACTAGACTACACTAGACTACACTAGACTACACTAGACTACACTAGACTACACTAGACTACACTAGACTACACTAGACTACACTAGACTACAACTACAACTACAACTACAACTACACTAATTGCATTAAACTACACTACACTACACCGCACCACACTACACTAACTACAACTACAACTACGACTACAACTATAGTACAGCTACATTACGCTACACTACACTACACTAGTTACACAACCCTACACTACACTCCACTACACTGCACTACACTGACTGACACTGCACTACACCTACAACTACAACTACAACTGCAACGGCCCGTACACGACATTACATTACACTACACTAATGACATTACCCTACTTCACACTAACCACAGCTACAGCTACATAAGACTACACTACACTACACCCCACTCCACTACACTACACTACACCTCACTACACTACACTCCACTACACTACAGTACACTACACTCAATTACACTACGCTACACTACACCATGCGACACTACACTACGCTACACTACACTGCACTGCACTGCACTGCACTGCACTACACTACACTAACTACAACTACAGCTACAGCTACAACTACAACTGCACTACGCCACAGTACACCCAGCAGTTGTGGTGAGGTGACCCCTGCAACCATTGCAACCACTCCAAGAAACACAACTCCAACCACCTGTCGGTCCATCAGTGGATTCGCTCTGCCATCCGTGGTTCACAACAACCAATCCCTCCTATAGGTTTCCTATTTTTGAAACTTCCGCCACCGCCTTGCGCGGTACTACTGGTATTCCACTTTGTCCTTGCATACTTGCAGTCACCATGTTTTACGCAGCACAAACATATCCGCACAATCGTTTCGCGTGTTCCACCCTAGACGTTTTGAACCCCAATTGTCCCATGTTGTAGTTTCAGGAAGCTCTGATGAGGTGCAATCACAGGGTTCACGGTTCTATTTTGTCATTTTATGGTTCAAGTCAAAAACCTCTCGGTGCCCTTGCATGATCTCATCCAGGTCCTTGTGAGAAGATCTTGTGGAGATCCTGTTGAAATCTTCCTCGAGACGCCCTTGCATTGAGACCTTGAAGATCCTCTGCGTTGGTGCTT